GCCATTACGTCTCCTTCACTTTAGGGGACATTACATTGGCTTGACATTCATTTCCAGGAGACTTTTCCTAACCTCAGCCAAAGCCAACATTAGCTGTCTTTACACCACATCATTTTTGTAAAATCCAACAAACTACATCATGGAGACTGGCCTCTGGTCCTCACAAGTGATGCCTAGTGTGCTCCCGGTTTTCCATCCCCATAGAAAAGTATAGAAAACCAAGCCACACAAACATACACAGTGTGTAACCTAAGTATTTGTAAAAAAAAAAAAAAAAAAAAGAGCATGGCTCCTCATTACTGCTTCGTGCTCAGTCAAAGAAATTTCATGCAGGTAAAAACATAAAAGAGCACATGGGTAAGCCCTTAAGACCACCATGCAAGTGTGTGATGCAGAGAAAGACAATCTGCTGTGTGAGAGCCATGCAGATCAGACAAGTATGCTGCTTTTGGCTCCTTTGATTCCTCTGTAAGACACAAAAAGCTGCTGATCTGTCTGTGTACTGACTTTAGGGTTCAGCCACAAATTGTCTTCAATCAATAGACAAGATGGAGAGCAGGAGCACATCAATCGCTTCCTAGTTTAGTCAAGGTCAAAGCTATTTTTAAGGTTAGCTGAATGATCCTCTCAGCACTACAGCCAAATCCTACTGTTGTGGCAAAGTGCACACCACGGGCTCCTGTCACCTGACCCCCAGCAGGAAGTGTTTAATGAGCAGATGTGAAAAAACTCTACTCTCACCAAATGTAACAGCTGTGAAAACAGACCAAAGAAGTCGTAACAAAAGCTTAGACCGCTGGCAGAGCTAGATTGATTTCTCTTAAAAGCAGAAGGAAGAAATCTGCATTGAAACTGTAGATGGCACTCTGAACGCTGCATAGTTCCTCTGATGGACCTAATCCAAGCCCAGCCTTCCCGTTATTGTGGTCAAGGCCACAGAAAGTAGCCATTTACTGGAAAATGTAGGACTGAGGTCTGGGTAATCACAGCAATTGTCATGGCTGGCTCCATCTCTCTGTAGCCACCTGAATCCAGCTACAAATGCTCTCTTCCTGAATGTGTTCCAAGGCAAAGAATCAGGGCAGCTGGAGTAAAACACAGAGAAGAACCCTGACTCATGCAGAGGTATCCGTTCTCAGATTAGCATTGTGTTCTTTGTTAAACCTATTTTTATTTTAAAAACTTTGGAACTGGACGTTTAAAAAAACAAAACAAAAAACTTTGTCACTGAACACAATATCGGGTTTTCCGGAGTTGTCCAACATCAGCGTTGTTGTTTGGTCAGGTTTGTATCCGGTATCCCATCATGCTTTGTGACTGTACACTGGAGGTCTTTGTGTTTGTCCGTGTGTAGTCTTGTCTCGTGTGTAACACGTCAGTGCTGTTTATCTCTTTTCCTTTCTACCCATCAACCAGGTGCTTGGCGGGATTCACTGGGCACCGATGTGAACAAGCTGTGCTTAAGAAAGTCTCACACCCAAAACGTATGTGAACCCAACTGTATTCAGTCCCACATGTCATTGCTGGTGTTTCACCCCTCTCATGTTAATCTCCAAGATGTGGTGGAGAAATCCATGTTTCCCTTCCAGTTTCTGTAGTGATACAAATCTGGTGATAAACTCCAACTCTATTTCTATGAGCTCAAGTGGAGCCATCTAAAGACTTAAGCACGCTCTATCCTGCAGAGTAGTGCATTGAAATTTGCATGTACTTCACATCTCATCACACCCCATCCATGCTGTTCAGAACAGTGAAATGCCTCCATCTCAGGTTAAAGTGGTGTGTCTTGTCTGGAGGTAAGACATACTGCCTACTGCTCTCTCCATTCAGCCTCACCCCCATCCCTTCAAAAAACAGACCACAGAAGAACCTCCATCCAAACTTTACCCGGTGGTCTGGTACTACATTGCTCACTGTGTGGTTGGTAAAGCATCAATGCTGTATTGGCGGGCCGGACTCAGTTGTTTTACATACAGGAGACCCAGGACATCAATGCTTGTGTTGCTGCCACATCAGGACTAACTGAGCCACCACTGGGAGTCCTCACTGTTCTTTTTGATTTGACTGCTGTATGACTGCCATGCCCCTGGTCCTGTGTTGCTTTTCAGAGTGGGGCCATGACTTCACTTATCTTGAATGATATTACAAGCTAAGACTAAACTAAATGGCTATGTGTGTACATGCAAATTTCAGTCTGCTGCTAAGACAGTATTCAGACATAGAGCTTGATGGAGAGTCTGTGCAAAATGGAACAGTTTCTCATATAATTTCCCTGAATTGGAGATTACAGTATATATCAGTGTACTTGTGTACAAAGGTCTGAGACAATGAAGAGAATTCAGGCTCACAGACTATAGCTAGACATATTGGTCTGGCTGAACCTTCCTGGTAACACCAGTGATGACTGTTGTGGGCTTTGCACAGCTCTTGTGTAAACTAACAATATCTTTCTTCTTGTCTGTTTCTTTTTTTGTTTGTTTCCTATTCAGGTGTCCAAATGAATTTACTGGTGATCGCTGCCAAAACTATGTAATGGCCAGCTTTTACAGTATGTCTATTTCCTCTTCAGTCTGTTCCTGGATTTGAGCATGCAGAATTGCTAGATCTTGTGCTGTTCACCTGTTTCATTATTTTAATCCTTTAATTTGTGACTTAGAGCAGTGGTTCCCAACCTTTTTTCCTCAGAGTCCCCCCACTATAAGTAAGAAAAGCTACGCTCCCTGCCCACCTATTCAGGCTGTTTCTATGCCTATCCTAAAACCACTCCACTAAAGTGCTGACCATGCCTTGCATGGGTGTGCATGTGTTCATATTTATTCAGATCGAGGGCCTGCCTTCTATCTGCATATGCTGACGTTTTCCAAGCGTCAATCGGGGCTTTTCGTTGAGCAGGTCAATAAACGTGAGCCATACTTCCTTACAACTCTCTGGGCCATACTTCCTTACAACTCTCTGGGAAGGATTTTGTGTCATGCAGCCCAACTGTACACAAAATCCTGCTGAGTGTTCTGCTGTGCTCCCTCTGCTCTGCACCCTGTGTGTTCGGCTAAGCCCTGCACAGACACCTACTAGCAGTCTAGTGTCCTGCAGCAGTGTGAGGACAGAGCGCTGTGGAGGTACTGAAAGACATTATGTTGAAATATTCTGGTCCGATGTATTGCAAAACTTTAATGATGAAAACCCACTTTCACAAGTCATCATGGAGATAGTCTCGACACTGTTGTAAGGAGGGCAGGCAGGGTAGGTGTCCAAGTGGACTTCCCTGGACATCTCCCACCTGTGTTTCCACACACACAGCCTACCCACGTGACATTGTCAGGACTTGTCTTCATGTCTGAAAGGGATATAGGCAGCTGACTATTTTGTGAGTGAGCACCAAAAAAATCTTTTTAAATAGTTTTATATTCATTGTTTAACCAGGTATGTGTTAATATGATTTTATTTAACATCTAATTTTGATGTCAACCTCCCTTTCCCTTTTCCGGTTATCTTTGGGCCCGGACCCCAGGTTGGGAACCATGGACTTAGAGTGCAGTATGCAGCCCAAAAACTTTATTGCATGTTACAAAGTTTGTTTCCCTGTTTTATTTTGAAATTTAAAACTGCATGTGGTTCTGTAGAAAGTACAGACATTCATTTCCATTTAAAATTATCAAAATTTCTCAAGCTTATATATTTATATTCTTAACCTGGAAGATTTATACATTTTCAGTATTCCAGTTCTTTCTGTCTGTGTGGCCCTCTTCCTGCCCGCTTACAACACAGTTCAAACAAGCAGTTAAAGAAATAGATTTTGAGTGTGATTGGAGCAGCAAGGGAAGGAGTGTTGCAGTGTCCCTCACTTTCTGGATGTCTATTCTGACTGCTGTGAGATGACAGTGTTTGCTCTGCAATTGGTTTAATCCACTTTTATATTAAATTGTGTCTGACTTTTTTAAACAATAAAGGCATACATTTTTTTTTTAATTTTTAAAATGTCAAAACTGAAAATATTAAGCCCTGAGTATGAGTTGGGAATGGTGCATGATCATCACAGCATGCTACATTCACAGCGCTGACTGCTGAGTGTATCCCTTTCCTACTAAAGATTATCTACCGACTGTTTGCCATAGCAGTCGAGTAATGCAAGCACACTAAGGGAAATTCATGTATCAAACTGCATCACTGCAATAGTAGTGCCTTAAAATTGTGTTGTGATCAAAATCCACATTCACATCAAAATTGTGACTTTATAATTACAACTTAGAAAAGCCATCCATTGCTGTTGTCATGATGCTTTATTATCTTAAATTTGATTATATTTCCTGATTCAAATGCAGGATTATAAAACAGGTGGTCAGTGTGTCATCACACACACCTGTGTACTAGCTTCATTAGTGTTAAGAGAACTGAGAGGATTCCCACACTGCTTCTCTGAGGTTATGCACAGTGCAGAATAGTACAAGTAACAGATGTAGCATTTTTTACCCCAAAACTTCCAAGAAGCCTATTCAAAGTTGCACAGAAAACGTATTCTATGTGCGCAATAGAAATAAAACAAACTGAGGTGGCGGTTTAGAGCAGGAAACGGGGGCTCTGTTGTTGAATTACTGTAAATCCTGGCAATGAGGATTTTTTCAAGTTTAAAGTGCAACAGATGTCTACACATTGTACAGATAAATCTGTGGCTTTGACCAGACTTGTACAGTACAGTAGTCAGTGTTGACCCTGCAGTATACAGTACTGTGTTGTGTTTTGTAATGAGGAAATATGTCACCAAGTGCACTGGTGTGTTTCCCTGATGTGTTTGTAATTATTTCTGAACAACAGTGGAGGTCTGTGGCACAGACAAATAAGCTAATCCAGGACTGACAGACATTAACAGTGAGTGGAGGCAAATCATTGTTGGGTTTTGTCTCTGTGTGGGGAGTGTTGATATAGAAAAAGACCAGCCTTATCCTTTAAGTGAAATTCATATTAACTATTGAATATCTGTTTCAAAAATACCACTTGCAAATACATGCTGTTAAGCGTGTCAGTAAAAAAAAAAAAAACTTGCTGGCATTAGTGTGTTGCATGTTGGAGCCACTTTTCTCTGGTTGCTGACTAGAACCCTGTCAATACAGGATTTATGTGGCAGTATCCTACCTTTAAGAGTTAGAATTGTTTGATGTCAATATACTAGCTGAATGTTCTTTATAACATATAAACACAAATGTTTTTGATAAAGATCCCCCCTAATTGTGTTTCTTAATGAACTATTACCAGTGCACAGTATGCAAAGGAGCCATTCTTTGTAAAGGACCTCAAGCATGCCTTTGTTATTTCTGAACTGACTGCTACTTATTGGCTGATAGTATATTGTATACGCTCATACCAGTAATGAGCTAAAACTCGGCACTGTATTGGTTGGACTCTCAGCTGGCACATTTAAACAGAATCATCTTATCTGATCATTATAATAAAGGGACACTCCACTGATTTTGAAAACAGCTATATAATGGTTTCTACAAAATACACAACATGTCAAGTCTGAGAAAATAAACCTTAGGTCATCAGACTACTGAGGTGTACTGTGGGTAGTGTAGGATGCCGTCTTTTTGGGGCACGACTTACACTAGGGACTAAAAGTATCTGTGTCTGCTGCTTAAAATTTGACCATTCTTTTTAAAACTGACCTGAAGACCCACACCTGTGCAATACTAAATCACTGGAGTACCACTTTAAGAACTCATTTTAAATGTACTGGTGTGTCAGACTGAGTTTCATCAAGTTTGGTCATATGTCTCTTAACTCAGCAGATTAGATGTCAGTCACGTCAATAGCAACAAATGAGACTGTTGGTTGCTGTAAATGTAAAAGTCTCTTTTCTGAGCCCTTTCTTATTGTTTGGGTTTATGGTCTTTATGTATATGTTTGTGTGTGTTGTAGATCAAATTTTAAGAGTGGACTGTCCTCTTTTTCAGAAGCTGAGGAGCTGTATCAGAAACGTATTTTAACAATAACAGGAATCTGCATTGCACTCCTAGTCGTTGGAATCATGTGTGTGGTTGCCTACTGCAAAACAAAGTAATTCATGTCACATCTTTATGTTTAATTTATAACTTAAAAGTACACTCCCTGATTTTATTATAGTGCCCAATAGTGCTCCCCAGTGCCCAGATCTCCTCAACTGTGCTGTGTTTTAAAATATCAATAGGAAGTAAAGCAAGTCAAATGTTTTCTGTACAGCACCTTTCAAAAGCTGAAAAGTGAGTCACAGTTCCAAGTGAAAGAATAAGTACTTCCCAAAGAATAAACAACAACAACAAAAAGCATATCAATAAGTATTTCTATCAAAGAACAAACCAGGGCAAAGAACTACTGATAAAATGTCTGAGGAAGCAGGTGTTAGGATGAGACCTAGCCCCTAGAGGAGGACTAAGCCATAGCCTGGGAGCTGAGACAGGAAAAGTTAAAGCGTTTAGTAGGAAACATCCAGGAGACTTTGCAGTCACCCAAGAGGCCTAACAGGAAGCCAGTGTTATGAAGCCAGCACTGTTAATAATATGACTGTTGAGTCTTACTTGGATGGAAACTCATAATTGCTAATTGCCCAGCAGAACCTTGAGCTGTAACTCTGTTACAGTGTCTTGGCCTAAATGACAGCAAGTTACAATAGTGAGGATGAGGATTGTAGTTTGGCAATGTTTATAATCAGACATTATAAGATTAAGTACCTTAATGAATGTTTTTGTTAAGGCAGAACTGGGAATCAAACATGCCAGCTTTGAGATAGTAGCCAGGTGGCCTGAGGTAACACTTAGAATGTTTGATTGGGGGTAAAGACTGTTGTGATTCAGCTACAGAAGGCCACAGGACATTGATCTCTCTATGCAAAGTACCCAGATTATAAATTTTCCAGAGTTTCACAAATATCTAAAGCTGGACGTCATGTAAACAGCGATGACCAGACATACAGCCAACCCAAATGAGTTGAGAGAAGTTTGGAGATTTTATGATGCTAGTGGGCACTATAACAGTATCACAGAGTGTATTTTGTACTGACCTCAGTACAGCCATCCATCCATCCATCCATCCATCCATTCATTATATATACCGCTTATTTGACCTCAGTACACAAAAAATATTAACTATCATTACTACAGTCAAGGCATAATAACATCAGATGAAATATGGGGTAAAATGTATCCCTTTTGATACATTTGGAACTCGCCCTCAGACATGTTGTCCAGGTTTGATCTGGACAGCCTCATAATCTGGCCTGTTATTTCACCAACAGGAAGCAGAGGAAGAAGCTCCATGACCGACTGAGACAGAGCCTGAGGAAAAAGAGGAACAACAATACCAATACTGGTACTGGCCCCAACTCGGCTAGAGGACGTCAGATTTCTAACTTGCCCCTTCAAGATTTGCAGCTTATAAATGTAAGTTGTTACAAATCCAGTGCAAATGGTATCTGTATCAAATTAAATCTCTACATTTGGATCATTGTCAGTCTGTTTTTTTGTTTCCCTTTTTATAGCAATGTAACGGGATGACTATGCAGCATGCAGATGAGAAGGAGACAGAAACCACCTTCTCAACAAGCAAATATGCCTTATGTGCGCATGAACCCACAACACTTACCCACATCTCCAGCCAAAGGTAAGGAAAGGCTTTGTGTGTTTGATCAGCCTAAAAGCTTTAAAAAGAATGTCTAACACCCTTTCACAACAAAAAGTGGAGCAAAATACAGAGAATCAATTGCTTAATGTCATCACGTTTATCTGTGCAATATGCTTTTTTAGAGCTCAGGATACTATCCTTGTTGTGCTAATACAATTGTCAGTGTGTTTCAGAAGACAGTGGGATTGAGGTTAGCTCTAGCTTAGTCGTGTTGTTGCCTAATTACAGAGCTGGGGCGTGATCCTGATTTATGTCACTGAATATATCCTGGAAAATAATTTCCAGGATATAGTATGGGAACTGTGCGTATATTTTTTAGAATAATAAAATGTTACAAAGGGTTTTGACACTAGAACACTGAACATTGTTGACTGGTGTTTAAGCTGGCAGTGCTGAATGCTAACTAAACATTATATACTGTAAATGTTAACTATATGTGTCCAGAATTTTAATGTGTGTTTTGGTACAGACTTCCAGTCTTAGGAAGCTTTGACAGAGAACGTAGACTGACCAAAAGCACCTTTTCTTAATAGATAGATAGATAGATTTTTTTTAAATCCACTCAGGGAATTTAGATTGTTATAGCAGCCATTTCACAAAACAACTTAAACAACAAGGTATGCCAGGATTAAGATATAAAGATATACAACTAATACAAATTATATATAAGCAGTTATTTACAAGAATTAAGTAATAAAAATAGTAGAAAAAATATATATACACTATATGCATATTTAACCAAATTTTACTAACTGTGCAGGTTATCTTTTTTATATATTTGAAATCATGAAAATGTGCTGATTTCTTGTCAAGAATTTTCAGTGGAGTAAAGAAATGCAGTGCAGATTTTAACAACACTGGCCACAAAAAATAAATATAAGGCCTGAAGATAACAGAGTGTGGTAGGGGACTTTAGTACAGCAGGGAGAAAACACTTCCAGATGATATTTTACTTGATTTATCTGAATTTGTACAAAATCTTAGTTAATGCAGCTTTAAGTAAGATTAGGTGTGTTCAGGGGGACTCTGTGCTCTGGTTTGTGCTGCTGGCTTTATTACCTGTACACTAATGCATATAACATGCTGTAGCTGACCACCACATGTTGCAAGATGTGCTTTTTCTATGATAGCGGTGCACAGTTTTGATAATGTATTGTGACCCTATGCAAAATTATTATGTGTATTTAGCATCAAATTGTGATGTTATTAGTAGATTAGGTGCAAACTCGACACAGCATATGGCTGTATAGATGTGAGCACTCAGCCAAGATGACTCCAAAGGTGTAACCCAGAATGCTCAGTGAGGTAAAGAAGAAGCTCAGAGTAACGGCTAAAGGCCTAAAGGATTTCACTGGAACTGGTTCACATCTCTGTTCCTAAGTCCACCATAACTATGGTGCATGGTTGGAAGGAGCATGGTTTTCATGGCAGGACACCACAGAGAAACCTCTGCGGTGTACTGAAAACATTGTTGGGGAGAACACACAGCACTACCTATGGTGTTAAAAAAAGGCACTGCACACCAACGTGAATTCATCATCCCAGTGGTGAAGTACGGTGCAGGAAGCATCATGATGTAGGGCTGCTTTGCTACCTCTGGGCCTGAACAGCTTGCCAGCAGGAAGAAAGTTTTTTTTCAAGGTCTCTCCGAACAATGTCAGTGGCGATGCACACCAGCTCAGCAGAGGTTGGGTGATGCAGCAGGATAATGAACACTGACACTGAAACTCAAAGTAAATCTAGTACAGAATAGTTTCAAACAAAGAAAATCCACCTTTTGGAGTGGCCCAGTCAGAGCCCAGACCTTAACCCAACAGAGCTGCTCAGAGTGCTGTTACACCAGATATCCTAGGAATAAGTCTGAGCTGAAGCAGCTCTGTGAGGAAGAGTGGTCCTAAATTCCTCTTGAATATTGTGCAGGTCTTGATTCACAGCGTGTTTGAGGTTATGGCTGCCAAAGGAGGTTTAACTAGTTATTAAATCTAAATGTGTTCTTTTCTTCCAGTAGCACGGTAAATAATGTTTAATGGGTATATTCAATATATACTGTATATATATGCTGTCTCTATGTGTCAGCCCTGTGACAGACTGGCAACTTGTCCGGGGCCTGTCCTGCCACCTCTCGCTCAATGTTGGTTGGGATTGGCTACAGTCACACCACAACCCTCTAGAGGTTAAGCAGAATAAATAAAGGATTTACTTGAATAGAATAGTAACAGCAGTTTTGCTTGAGTACAGTTTACCAATACTTTCTATCCCTGTTCCTTTCCAGGTTTTACAAAAAGATTTTCTTGGTTTTATTCTGCATTAGTAAAAACAAACATTTTAAGAAATGATATGACCAGTTACACCATGAAATACAGAAATAATATGATTGATGCAATCGTTGCTTCTGTTGCAAAACATACATAAATATTGATCTGCAAGATGTGCTGTATCTGTTCTGTCACTCTAGCAATGTGAGAGGCAGGTGGATGTCAATAGTATAGTAGTAGGAGTATGCTCTTTTGGGGAAGGTCACCCAGTTACAACAAACAGAATTAGTATGATTCTCATGAAGCAGTGAAGACAAATAAAAAGAGAACAGGGCGAAACATTTTAGTTGGACTTATTCATTTGAAAGCAGTTCAAGTTTATTTAACTAACTCCTGCATCAGTAAATTGGTCTTTGAGACTGTGAGAAAACTGCCCTTGGTACGCAATTTAGACCCACAATATATTTATTTCATGAAGGTCTAGAGGCCTGTCTGAAATCTGTCACCCTGTAAATGAGCCCCTCCCTGTCTCTGCAGCTGGAGTAATGACTGGAGCAACAGTGTACTGTCTGACACTGAGTCTGTCTCGGTGATGTCATTGGTGGAGAAGAGCCAACGTGCCACTCAGGGCGGCCGGGGTCGTCTGAATGCCACTGATGGCACCAGAGACTTAAGTGCTCATTCAAAGATGTGCCGAGACACACTCAACTCCGACAGGGACTTGCCTTAAAGTACAAGGTAATTTATTGATTAGTTTTAACTTTGCATCACAAATGAGAACATATAAGCACATGAAATTGACAAGACAATAAAGACTTTAAAGTAGCCCACACAACTGCTAAATCACTCTTAACAGCTTATCTAAAAACAAAGGCTTATAAAGTATGATGCCACTGGCACACAATCTATTGTCCACCAAAATGCTACACTACTGGGGCCCAAACATTATGAGGAATGACTGAATGAATGAATACATAAATAATTAGGTAAGTGTTAATGAACAATGTGCACAGCATATTAAAATTAAATGAAAACCCTTAATTAAGTATAGAGTATGTAGCAAAATCTTTATGAATTCAGTTCACACACATTTTACCTCCTTATCACTCAAGATAGAGGCATCTCAGCCATCGGTAACAACAGGATAAATTCTCTGCACATACTACAAATTAATCAGTGATACTAACTTAACACTTAACACTACCAAAAATCCCTCCTGTTATTTATTTTTCACTACCTCATCTAATCTTTTAGGTTCCAGAATCCAAATCCAATCCATAGGTGGCATCTTTAGTCATTAATCTCAGCCAGGACAAAATAAATTATACCTGCAGCTCTCTCCTTTGATAGAAATACAATCAAACATTATAAGAATGACACTGGTCCATGAAACATCCAGAAAAAAAAAAATTACCGTACATAGTTTTACACTGTTGTTACTCCTGTATGATTTACTACCAGTCCTATTGTTATCAGCAATCATGCTCCAGTATACAGTAGCTTACATTAAATAACAGCTACCTCGATCAACCAGTTAGTAGATGGCATTTCAAAACACTGCTTGAGCACTTAAACTGTAGATAGTCGACCTAAATTTGAAACGGGAGAGAACAAACTAAAATGGGATCTAAGATATTGTCTTCTAGCAACAAATCTGAGGAAAGAATGCTTCTGCATAGATTCACATTATTTGTACTTAAAGACATGCCCTCTTCAAACATTTTTGCAGAGTTTGGCAGGACTGCAACTAGCTGATGCTAGCATGGCTAGCTGGCCATGACGTGTAGGCACATCCTTACTTGGCTGTTTATTAGGTACACCTATCTTAAAGTGTAATCCAGTTGTCCTGCAAAAATTCTACCTCTTATGTGAAATGTTTTAGTGCAGTGTTGATTTAACTTTGTCATCATTTTGGAAGGTATCATTTGCAGTGCTGTTTTCATGGTGGCACCACCCACGCAGTGCTCTAGCCATGATTTTACTGACCTTGAAATCTGCTTCATTGCTCATCTGTGTGTTACATTAGAAGCCCTTAAAAGTTGCCCTTATTGCAGTTGCAGTGCATTTATGCTGCGGCATGGCATGTGTTACAGTATAATACCAGTGGGAGGTGTTCAGCTTTTGCACAGCTTTGTCACACACACACACACACACACACACACACACACACACACACACATTTAAAGTGACCATATTTGCTGTTGCAGAGGGATGGTAGCGTGTACATGGGGCATGGAGCTAGATTCTAACTCGCTCACATTCACTAGGGTTTATAAAGCCAGTTTCTTAAACCTGGCCTCTATTCATCTTCAGTGGAACTGATTCCTAATGAAGGACTGGGAGGCCTCCACACTCATACTCACATAAATCCACGTTACTAATTTTCCAGCTGGATTTAGTACCTTATGAAGCCAGCTTCAGACCCCTCAAAATTTAACCAAGTATTTTTTTCAGCCTAAACCTAATGAAGTAATTCTTGTCTCTAGATCTAATGAGTTTTTGTGGCCAAAACTAACCATCTTGGCATTTAGCAACCAGTAGCAATAAGAAGTGGGGGCCACCAATCAAAGGTGTCAAATCAGCCAAAATACACCCCTCTTTATATTGACTCATGTCTTATCCACCGACATGGAGGGGGTGGGGTTTATGACTTATACTGCAAACAGCCACCTGGGGCCGATTGACTTATCAAATCAAATCAAATCAAATTTTATTTGTATAGCGCCAAATCACAACAAAAGTCATCTCAGGACTCTTTACAAAGTAAGGTCTAGACCTTACTGTTATCAATATTATTACATAGGGAAAACCCAACAAATCCCCCTTGAGCAAGCACTTGGCGACAGTGGGGAGGAAAAACTCCCTTTAACGGAAGAAACCTCCGACAGACCCCGGCTCTTGGTGGGCGGCCTTCTGCCTCGACCGGTTGGGGTGAGTGGATAGAGGAGAGACAAAAGAAGAAAAGCAACAAGACACAACAATCAAACACTGATCAGGTCGATGTGGCTGGTGACTGCTCGTCAGAGAC